ATTGCAGTCATCTTCCGCGTGTACTGCGCGGACCACACGTACTGCACGCTGCGCTGCCCGGTGTCCTCCACGGCGGAGCACATCAAACTGTCGGCCGCCGACAAGCTCAAGCTGGGCCCCACCGAGGACCTGGTGCTCGTGGAGGTGCGCTCCACTGGGGAGCGGATCGTCATCCCGGACAACGACCTGTCCGTGCCCACTGGCCTCGCGGGTCTCAACGCGCGCCTCTTCGTCGCCCCGCGGGAGCACATCGACGCGCTGGTGAGTGCGCCGTCAGCGCCCGTCGGAGCCCTCGCCACCGACAGGAGAGTGACAGCGTCCTCCTCTGTTTGCAGACGCCGTTGCCGGAGCAGGAGGGGGCGACGGAGGCCCTGGAGATTGACCTCGAGTTGTTTAGCATGAAGGAGCTGGCCTACCACATGACCCTCTTCGACTGGGACCTGTTCTGGAGCGTTCACGAGGTAAGTCCTCGCACCACCCATCTTTTTCCTTTGGGGGCATACAGAAAGTACGTTCGCCATTTGCCGTAACGAAACTATGCCCAGTTCAGACACTGCTCTTATAGCCATAGCGCCTGATCGGTAGGCAACATCCTGCCTGCAGCGCACGCGTGCACTGCTGGGTGGCCTATCCCGAGTTTCGCAGGCGCTGAGCTCCAGTACTATCTGGACGACCCGTCATCCTTTCGCAGCGCCGCCGGTCGAACGTTGACGTGTCCTGTCTTATTCCAGTACGAGCTGCTGTACAAGACGTTCGGCAGGCAATCCTTCAACCAGATCACAGCCAACCTGGACGTGTTCTTGCGCCGCTTCAACGAGATCCAGTATTGGGTCATCACTGAAGTGTGCCTCGCCACGCAGCTGTCAAAGCGAGTGTCTGTGCTGCGCAAGATGATCAAGTTGGCCCAGTAGTGAGTACTATATCCGTCTAATGTCACAACACCAGGAGGCTGATTAGTCTCGCCCGCGTCCGTACCGCGCGAACACACGTGTTTGCCTATCACCTCTGACCGGTCGGCGCCTTACGGCTCAAGCGAGTAGGCAACTCACTTGCACGTGTACATGCGGTAAAGTCTAACTACAAAAGTGGCTGGGACGAATCAATCACCTACAGCCCCCGCAAATCGTCGATCGCACTTTAACACAGTGCATTTAACACCTTACCGTCCAACAGCTGCCGTGACTTCAAAAACCTGAATGCGCTGTTTGCCATCGTGATGGGCCTCGGAAACGTGGCCGTGTCGAGACTGTCGCTGACGTGGGAGAAACTGCCTTCCAAGTCGCGCAAGCTGTTCACCGAGCTGGAGGCTCTCATCGACCCGACGAGGAACCACAGAGCCTATCGGATAGCGGTAGGCCGACTCTCGCCGCCAGTCATTCCGTTCATGCCGCTGCTGATCAAGGGTGAGTCAAAAATTAGTAGATTGCTGTTGATCCTTTCTGTTTTGATTATTGCTAAAAGGATAATTAATTATTTCCAGATATGACCTTTACTCACGAGGGCAACAAAACTTTCTCAGACGGTCACCTCGTCAATTTTGAGAAGATGCACATGCTGGCTCAGACCATGCGTAGTATCAGGAACTGTAGATCAAGGCATTTAGGTAAGTAAAGAAAACTTTTAAAAAATTTAAAATGGCATATAATTTTAGATAAACATACAATTTTTATGGGAGTCTCTTAATAAATATTAACAATTTTTTGTCACATCTAGTTTTGGAACCCTTTTCACCAAAGGCCGAGCAGGACATAAAGGAATATATCTCTGCTCTGAGAGTTATCGACAATACAAGATTGCTAAACAGCCTCTCACAGAAATTAGAACCAAGACGGTCATAGATGCCAATAAGTTGCTGACCACCATCTAGTCAAGTCGAGTAAATTCCGACAATTAAGCCAAATAAAACATTTCATAAGTCGATTTGACGGCGAGTCATACAGTAAATGTAGATTCGACATAGAACTGACATATTTATTTTTATCCTTTGCTGTGTATTCTCATTTTCATTGAAAATCATGTCATCTCGCCTCTCTCATATGTCGCCACCATCCTGGAAATGCGTCAGGTAGTATTGCACAATGAACAGTGCAGTACCACTGAGTCCTGTAGGTGTTAATGTGATGTTTTGTATGAAAGTACTTACTTTGTAAGATGTAAATAGTGTATTTTAATTTTAGAACTTGAATACAACAGAATTTAGTCCAAATACCAGTGAGGTATTGCTCGTCCAAATTAAGAAAGGAAGAATTCCATAGATTTTTCAAATTAATAAACATTGAAATTTGGAGTGCACTGTAATGGTATCCAATATATTTTTAATCTCACTGGCGATAATGGTGGAAATATGACAAGTTGTCTAGTGTCGTCTAAGACAGGAAAAAAACTAAAAGTTAAGGAAATTTTAGGTACCATGACCAAGGAAAAAGAAATCAAAATAGTAAAGTTTGTATTATTTTCATTTTTATAAGTTTGTACATGCTATTGGACTTCATGTACTCAATTGTAAGATCTATTTTTCCTCACTTTATAATTGGGCCCAATATCTGTTTAATTTGCTCCTTGGTAAATCAAATTTGACTCTGAACAATAAGTAGATCTATTTATTTGCATTGTGCTCCATTCTAAATTGTTTGGACAAACACATGGGATTGAGTATGGCAGATTCAATAAAAGCTCCTGCCTGACTGTTGACTGCAAAAGAGAAAATTTCTTTTTAAAATAAAATAGGTTTAATCACTGTACATGCATGTACATATTTAAATTGTACATACTCCACAGATCTTTTGCATCTTGTTAAATGATAATGTAGAATATGATTATAGAAATGTCATTTTCTTTCCTAACTCTCTTATTAATCAGCAGATATTTTTACCCTACCTTGCCTTAAATTTCAATCTTATAGACTGACCTTTTGCAATGAATTTCCTTATTCTCTTTTTATACCTCACTTTCCTCTCCTTAGCACTTCAGAAATTGGTTAAAGGTTTAGTTATAAGAATCAACAAAATTCATTGGTAGAACATATCTACATTTACTATACTGGGATAAATCTTTATGACAGAATGTGTTTAGATCTAGATCATTGCTAGGTATAAGGTAAAAGGACAGGACAGCCCCCTTTATTAATTGTTCATATGTCATACAGGGTCTCATCCATTACTCTTTTCGACTAAACAAAATTAATTGTAAGTCCTATTTCTACTTAGTTACAGATACATGTGACAATCAATGTATGTTGATTCAATTGTGGGAGAGCTATAGGAGTGAGAATTATACTGTCCAAACCTATCATATACATATACCTATAAAGTTTGCACCCATTTCGTTCTCTATTCATACAATCCTAAAAGCTGAAAAAGCTGAACAAACTATAAATCGATTGTCATATTTTCCTCCTTTTTTCCTCGGTGCTTCCCAGCATAACTCTGCTGTGATCTATGTATAAAATCTTGTCTTTGTACAATCAATCAACCTATCTGTGATGTGTGCTTGTAATATCTTTAATTCCAACTTCTTTCTAATTATGTACAGTATATGTTATTAGGCTAGAGAGACTATTCTCCGAACTTCATTTTACTTCGTTTAAGTCCACGTTTCCTTGCTCACTTTGCTCATATCTAGTCTTTCACATTTTCTTTTACATGAATAAAATAACGTCTGGCAGAGTATTAACACGTAGAGTCCCAGGGGTGTCCCCTTTTAGATGCTATTGTGGCCAAACGTGTGGTCGTGTGAGACTCAACATGTTTCTTCATTTAAAAAAAAATACGACAAAAAACAGGCTATGTCTTCTAGTTGACGAAATTTCTTCTGAAATTGATAAGCTAGATTGTAACTCCATGACAAAATATAATATTAGTTAAGGAAAAAGTCAATGTATGTGTGTGTGAGAAAACTATTCGTCCAATACAACCAATTTCAGCAAAAGTCTAATTTATTGACAAACCTCATAAAACATCCAATAATATCTTGATCCACTCATTATGCATACCAATTCAATGAAGATAGGACTGTGAAGATAGGATCACTTTTTCACAACTTGAATGACATCTTCATCAGCCATAACATGGTTACTTCCCACTCTCTGAGGTGAATATTTGGTGCTTGTACCCTAATATTTGAGAAGAAAAATGTTAGAATTTTCGATTAAAAATAAAA